ATATTTGTAAAGATATTTACAAAAACAAATAATTAAGCAATTTCGTAAAATGTGAATTATATATAGTTTTTTATATTTTTACAAGAAATGACAAACTTTGTAAAAAAATACCTCAGACATTAATTGTAGCAAATAAAACTATATCTACAAAAAAGCTCATTTTCATTTTTCCATAAGATCAAAAACTTAGCCAGAAAATAAAAAAAGTACATTTTGAATTTTTTTAAAACTGAGCTTAGAGCGCATCTTGTTAATCATGTTATATGATGCTTATATTTTGTAGATCTGATACTTAGACCACTAAGAAAAAATTCCCAGGCAGCACTCTTAGTATTTTTATTTATTAAATTTCAAACGGGTCAAGCCCAAATACAACGTTTATAATACATTCGTTCATAGATAATATGAACATTTACAAAAATTAAATGAAATAATATACAATATAATAATACTTATAGCTATGGGTTACAAAAAATAGAGCTATAATAAATTTTAAATAAGTTAAAGTTAGGTACTATTTTTAAATTATTTATAGTTCTCATTATTCTGTTTAGAAGAGTGTTACTTGCATAATTAGTTACTTCTGTGTTTAAATAAAATGTATTTTTAGACCGGGTATTACGAGTAGGGGTGTGAATAGAAAAACAACTTAGAAAAATAGGAGTCAAAACTGCCTGCGAATAGCTTATACGCAAAGTATAAATCTAAAGAGTTTCGAGTGATAGGAACATTAAAAGTGGGAGGTAAGAAGAGTGAGGTTCTCTGGGTATGGTACACTTAAATGAGAGGAAACGTAAAAACTTTTGTTGGATTTTCTTAATTTTATATTTATGAACAGATGTGTAAGGAGACAATATTACCGAGCCATATTCACTGACGGAACGTACAAGACAGCAATAAATGGACCTTAAAGTCAGAACAATTTCGATGTATAAAACCTAAGCTTTGATTTGATCTGTTTACAATGTGGTTTATATGACAGTCGAATTTTAGTTTGGGATCAAAAAATATTCTTAGGTCTTCGACAGGCACCATAGAGCGATTTAGTGGTACATCATTTATAGTATACTCAAATGACGAAACTACTCTAGCTCTCGAGAAAGTCATTATCTGACATTTACTAATATTTAGAGTAAATTTATTATTTTTGCACCATTTATAGAGCGTGTTTAAATCAGATTATAATAAATCTGTTTCAACTTGATTGTTAACGGTTCTGAATAATTTGAGATCATCAGCAAATATTAATTTAGCGCAGTTATTAAACTGAATGTCATTATTGAATAGAAGAAATAACATTGGTGCTAAATGGAAACCTTGAGGAACTCTTGGAGTGACACGTATTGGTATAGACCAAATGTCTTTATAAGCTACAATTTGATGACGATCTTCAATAAAAGATATAATCCAGGATAAAAAAGAACCACTTATACTGACATGGCTTAATTTTGTAAATAATATTTTTGATTAATTTTATCAAAAGCCTTGGTGAAGTCAGTATATATGACATCCACGTTTTTATAAGTGTAGGTGCACTACATCAACCGACAGACTAATTGAATATTTAAATTTAATCTTTTGATTGAAGTCAAACTCTGAGTGAACAATTGTATCACTATTACAAGTAGAACCAATATTTGGCACTGGTGAAATGACCAAAATATTTTGTATGTTTTTAGTGGACTGTATAGAGGGTAAACTTAAATGACAACAGCTAGATAGAAAGTTGACTAAAGATAAGTCTGATTTATTTCTATGAGTACAAGTAAATATTTGTATTCTAATGGCAACAACTAGGTAGATAACTACATTTAAGACAACAAAGTTATTTCTATGATTACAAGTGAAAGGTTGATTTTGTATACTAGAAAACAAACATGTATTACTTTAAAATGATTACCAAACTATTGTTTTAAACTAGTCACACAATCATAAATTCAATTATATTAAATAGACTTATAAAATGAGTAATAACTTACAATCTTATATTAAGTTCACAAGCAACATGCATAAGTAAAATTTACAATGTATTAAATATACTCAACATGCTTAAATCTGTGCTATTTACAACTAAAATTTTTAATATAATTGTTTCAAAAATAATGAATTATCAACTCAAGGAATTAATACTCATTTAATTTTAAAAGTGCAAGCTATTTCTAAACTACATGTAAAAAAAAATAATAGAAACAATTTATCAATGAAGTTTGTCATTTAAAAAACTACAAATGAGATCAATAACTAATATTCAATTTTGTGAAGCTTAGTATGAATTTTAAATTGAGAAACTAGTTAGTTTCTGAGAAGACAAAATAAATTTAAGTTGAGTGATTACAAGTGTGAGTATAGACAAGAATTATGAAAAAATTGAATTTTTGCGACTGATCGACAATGAATTTAAATAATTATAGGTAATTTTGCATGAAATATTGTCAATGAGTAGAACAATTATGAGATTCAACTGGATAAAGTTTACCACCCACCTCAAAGGAGTATTAGAACTCTAATGAATGATTTCAATAATAATTTAAGATTCCGACTTTGACTAATAAATGTATTATTATAATATCTGATCAATATGATGATATGTCAACAACAAAATGTGTAATAATTAACTTATATTACCAATAGACCAGTATTTAATAAGAAATCTGAAATCAACTACGAGGTTTCTAAAACTTGATTTAAGAATTTAAGTTAGGAATTTGTTGTAAACAAATCTCCTACAAGTTACAATATTATTGTGTAAAGTAGTCAAAATATGACAACAACAATGGTTTGAAGAAAAAACATAAGCTTAACATTTTTAAAACAACATAAAAGGCGACTCGACGAAAACGAACGCAAAGACTTCTAGACAGCTAAGCGATCCAAAAGCGAGAGAGAGTAGATTCTCAAGCGCATAACCGCTACCCCGACAGATTAACTTGACCAGTGATAAGAGAAACGACGGGTGACCACAATTTAAAAATAGGCTTTGCTAAGCGCAAACAATAAGTTTATGGTGTTATTAAAGTATTCATTTTTTATAAATTTATATATTGAGGCCATTTAAAGTGGCCTCAATCACTACACATTCCTACCCGGTATGTATGGTTGTAAGCCAATCTCAATTGATATTCTACGTCATATTTGAAGTAGTGAGCTAGTCGCTGGAATGCTAGAATGATATGATCCTAGAATGCTTATTTCGTGCGCCAAGTAAATAATTGGGTATTGCATTCTTTACATCTGAAAAAGAAATATTCAGTTTGCCATACTTAAAACCAGTGATTTCCACTAATGGTTTGACTCATTAATATATTGACTTGTTTAGATGTAGTGTTTAGATTTGTATTACAAAGAAATTGTTTTACATAATGTGTACATTCAGTTTTGTTGTGGACAATTAGGACCAGTTCTGGCGAACTTTAAATTCTAGGAAGTCAATTATATTTTTGGTACTGAATAAATTTTTAAATTGTTTTTTTTTCTAGGTCTAGGTTGGCTATTGTATATATGTAATTATATGGAGTGATATATCTCTATAATGTGAAAAAAAATGAGAATGTATAGGTTGAGTTTTTGTTTAAATTTGATCAGGATTATGATTTTTTTATCTGATATTGATAGTTATATATGTACTATGTTGAAATCATGTATTAAATCTCCTGTGAAAATGAGAATATCATCTTTATATGATGCTACTGTTGTAATTAAAATTTTAAATTTAGCCTGTACAATTACATCATGCCAAAAATTTTTATCTGTATAGTATGATCCCCCTTCACAACTCCCATCAGAGCCTACATTTTCTGTAATAATTGTTGAAAAGTATTAAGTTTGATTGATTTTTAGGTTTGTTTTTACTAATTCTAATGCATTATTATTAATTCTAAAAGATAGTGTTTAATCTATATCAGCTCACTGTACAGCTGATAACCACACCCTTTATTTTATGAACAGTCCCAATTGGCCTGCAAAAATAATGTACCAATTTTTTATACAACAATTCAAATTTCAAAAACATTGTATTATCATGGTTACATGGGTCAATAAACATATATTCTGTTAACAATTAATTAAGTAAACAATAAATATATTATACTGTACTATTGATGATATTCATACCGGGCTCTATTTATATATAATCTTTATTTAATACATAATTTAAACATGTTAGAAATACTAATTATAAATTTATAATATGCAGCATTTTTCTGTTTGTTGTTGTTGTTGTTGTTACTGTTTCGGGAGTAGCTTTTTACAGTATTTGGCCACGTGGCCTCTTTTTTACAAAAGTTACATGCTGCAAAATTGAAAATAATTAATAAATAAGAATGACAATTTAGACTGTATGTTTAACAAATACTATAAGGTTCGATTTTTATAACTGTAATACAAGGAATTTAGATTAAACAATAAATATTTTATTTATTATATTAAATTTTTTTGAACTATATTGCAAATGTTTTTAATTAAATCATAATAAAATGAAAGTTTGGATTGGAATATTATTACTGTTTTATGCTTAAATAATAAAAAAAAAACCAGAAAAAATTAATATTAATTAAATATACATATGAATATTAATTCAACTTACCTGCACACTGTTCAAATGCAGCAACTGATGGTAGCAATGTAGTTAAACTAGTTTTCAACGATAGTATCACTAGATCTCTACTCAAAATGTTTGCTGCTTTTATCAATATTGATTGTAGGCTATAGTTATAGCTGTTATATATATATATAGCTATATAAAACTATACTATCGTCCTAATATATTTACTGATGTATTTTTGAAGTACTAAATTCATGCAGCCTATGTTTATCCAATATGATTACTTTATATAAATCTTAGAATAAATAATAAAATGATAAAAATTAAAAAACAAATAAGTAGTTATTTATAAAATTTTTATTAAAAAAAAAAACTACAGAAAAATGCTGCATATTATAAATTTATTATTATTAAATAAATTTATTTATTATATTTTAACTTGCAAACGTTGCTTCACCAGCTTTAATGGTATGCCTAAAAAACATATTCTTCGAGGTCATCAAGCGTTGGAGCAACACAAGTTTATATACAGAAGTGACACGCAACATTTCCAAATTATTGCGTTAAACTAACGTCCCCATCCGAATGTCTGTCGATGATGTGCGCAGGCATGGTGAGAAAATTGTATGCGACACTGCCATCTATCGGGCCGATTAGACAGACGTTGTGCAATGCGTGTAACCTGAAAGTGAAGACGATCAACATTGTGCCATGTTTCTTTCGGGTTACGACGCGCATTTCATCGTCACTGAATTGGGGTACGACGACCAAAGGATTTCGGTCATACCGAATTCCGAAGAGAAGTATATTTCAGTCACGAAACACTTAACTAATAACTTCTCCATACGGTTTGTCGACATCTTCCGGTTCATGGCCTCCTCCTTGTCCACCTTGGCCGGTAACCTAATGCACCCGATTTCGTTAAATTCCGTGAGATGGCCAAGGTGTTCCGCTTTCAAGATATGCCGTTGGTGAAGCGTAAGGGCGTATGACCCCCAAGAGTACACTGATAGTTGGGCTAAATTGGACGAAACGGTACTACCATCCCGAGACGCTTTCTATAGACACGCCGCGGAGGTGTGGAATCATTTCGGCTGCTCAACCCTCGGTGAGTACAGCGACCTATACCTAAAGATCGACGTGCTGTTGTTGGCTGACATGTTTGAGAACTTTCGCGACATTTGTACTACAACATACAATTTGGACTATTATACCGCACCAGGCTTTAGCTTTTCGATTGTAGTTGAAGTACACCAGGGTGAAGCTGGAGCTCTTAAACGACTACGACATGCTACTGATGGTGGTATCGTGATGGGCTGGTGCAGGCCGTCAAGCACTATGCCAAGGCCAACAATCCAAAGACACTGAATTACGATTCGACAAAACCAGACTCATGGATCGTCTACCAAGACTGTAAATATTATATATAAGTGTAAATGAGTGGGAATTTAAGAACGTTAAAAATGATTACAGGCAATAACCTGTACGATTGGGCTATGAGTCAGCTCATGCTTCCGGTGGTATGAAGGAGCAGATCCTCTGGCCGACCTCCAATTGTTTTCGGACACTGGTAATACGGGGCGTATATATGAAGTGAACGTATTGTATCCAGAAGAGCTGCATGACGAGCAAAACGACTTACCGTTCTTGCCTGGCAACGATGTACCGCCGGGTTCTAAAGAGACCAAACTCTTTGAAACCCAAACAACGGTACGTTGTACACTATGTCAACTTGAAACAGGCGATCGCACACGGACTGCAAGTCGATAAAGTATGTATAATTAACCTATAAACTATAAGCGATGATACTAATATAAATATTTGTACTGCAGGTGCACCGCGTTTTAGAGTTTCAACAAAGTGCTTGGTTGAAACCATACATTGAGCTGAACACTGAAATGCGGAAAAAGGCGGCAAATGCTTTTGAAATAGCATTTTTCAAACTAATGATTAATGCCGTCTTTGGTAAGTGCATGCTCAATGCTAAAGTGGGTTATTCGATCATTTTTATATTTTATAGGGAAAACAATGATGAACATACGGAAACGCATCCGCATTGAGCTAATCTCCAGTCCCGAACGTCTAAGCAAGCTCGTAAACCAATCAACCTTCAACGACTGTATCAAATACGTCGGTTTAGCAGTGCTTGACATTAACAAGTCGCTAATCTACAAGTACTTCTACGACCTATTAAAATCTCATTTTGTTGACGCAATCAGCCTGGTTTACATGGATACTGGTGAGTACAACCGTATAGTAGAAATATTTTTATATTTTTAATTTTTTTCAGACTCCTTCATGTACCTCATACGTCTCAGAATTTTTAAATCCATCTCCATCATTCATGTTTGTTAATAACTTATTCACTACATTTAAAATTCTTTGAGTTAAATTTATTTTTAATAAATTATTATATACATTAAAAAGTCCTTCAACTATTACAATTACTAAAGAATCTGTCATATATTTTTCCCCGCTAATTGCATTAGTAGCTTCTTTAAAAGGCTTCAATACTTTAATACGTTTTGACGCAATTAACGTCGTAATAATGTCACAATTTAATTTTAAAAAATCAGTGTAGAGCCATTTATTCAAACCAAAAACACAAACGAGATAGTACAGCGATTGACATACGTGTAAACTATTTAGAGTTTACAAGAAATTAAGACAAAATAAAATAATAAAATGGTGCGTTTTTGGCACGATGCGTATATGGCAGTGTCACGAAGATGATTTAAACTACTCGTATAATTATGGCGGGTATTCGACGCTAGGCATTTATTGGGCTTTACACCACGACGATAACGCGTGTGTGTAACGGTCCGGTTTACAATGGAGCTGTGGCTGAGAAGGAGCTGATACGACCGCGGGGTATCAAACGGGTGACAACGCCGTGGCTGTGTCAGTTCATGTAAAATAATCCATTGATCTGATTTAGTAGCGTCTGGAACATTGTCAAGTAATCCCATTGTACCGCGAACTGAAGTTTCTAATTCAACAAATCTACAAATCATATAATAAGTGGCATTCCACCTCGTTGGGACATCTTGTATAAGCTTCTTTGAATATTTTATGCCATTATTAATTTGGTATGATTTTAATGCAGTGTTGAGAAGGAACTGGTTCCAAAAGGAACAGATTCCTGGAACGAGTTCTTTTTGAAGGAACGATGCTAGGAACTGCTTCCTTTTAAAATAAAGGAACGAGGAAAATGAACAAATTCCATTTTTTAAGGAACGTGAACGGAAATTACAGTTCCTAAAATTTTTTATAAACATGTTTTAGTGTAGTTTTCTTCGTATCTAGACATTAAAATATTATGGTATTTTTAGTTGACTTTTGACAATGGAAGTCCCCTATATACCCAGCCGAGATCGTAGGCTGTTTAAATGAATCAATTGACTATAGATAGAGTTATTATCACATGTAGGTATACAGTAAATATTTAATATATGTGTACATATATTAAATAATGCACCGAATATTATCGTCGTTTCCTGTTAACTAATATATGTTAAAGGTTTTGGGTTTTCTGATTTATTATTTCCAACTTATATGTAGACAATAGACATTGGTCGCGTTGACACAAGTCGTTAGCATTTACTACCTGCTNTGGGTTTTCTGATTTATTATTTCTAACTTATATGTAGACAATAGACATTGGTCGCGTTGACACAAGTCGTTAGCATTTACTACCTGCTTATAAATATAATTTTCGAATACTTTTAGATAAGGAATACTACAAATTTGTTTTGTATTCGACTGCTGATGAAAATCATTGATGACCGTTATCATGATCTCATTGACACAATTTTTTAAATAACTTATAAAAGGAACGAAGAGTGGAACGAGTTCTTATTTTGGAGGAACTGGATCTGGAACAAGTTCCTTCTTAATATAAAGAATTAGGATCTGGAACGAGTTCATATTTTAGAAAATGAACGGGGAACGGAACGAATTCCATTTAAAAAGGAACTTTCCCAACACTGTTATATGTAGACAATAGACATTGGTTGCGTTGACACAAGTTGTTAGCATTTACTACCCGCTTATAAATATAATTTTCGAATACTTTTAGATAAGGAATACTACAAATTTGTTTTGTATTCAACTGCTGATGAAAATCATTGATGACGGTTATCATGATCTCATTGCCACTCCGATATTTATTATTATATTATATTATATTTTAAATTCGCTGTCACCGGTCACCGGTACTTGATTCGAACTTGTTACATATCGCGCGTGTGTTTAAACGAGTGTGTGTACAATTTAAATATTCAATGTGCTTTTTATTGGGTATTTTTCGTATTTAATTGCTGTAGAAAAACGCCAATGTGCTGTTAAGTAAGTATTGTTGAATTATTATTATCTCGCTAGTTAAAATGGTATAATAAGTTTTATAATTCTATAATTATAATTTGATTTTTATTCTGTAACCTTTTATACTATTCTTATGTCTTATAGTATAACTCTCAGTCCACTTATGACTTAATTATTTAAAGTAAATAAAAATAGAAAATTCAAATTTTTTCAGTTTGTTGAGTGTTTTAAAAATTATGTCATCTGGAAATAAAAAGGCAAGATTTATTTTTGAAAAATTTACTCATAAATCAAAATTACCTTCAAAGAGTCATGATCATGATTTTTCTGATGTAGGCAATCCATTGCCAGTATTGAAACTATCAGATGTGTCTGCAAAACCTACTGGATCAGTAATCAGCTCCAAAATTAGCATTAGTACCAATAATACTAATAGTATTTCTACATTAACAAATTTTACACCAAATCCTAAAGAAAGTGATAAGCTGTACTACAGTCTACAATATGTTGTTAGTTTCTACTAAAAAGTTAACTTAAAGAGAAACTTAAGTCTCTATAACTAAAATATTAGTTAAAGATAATACTATTAATGCGTAATCCAATTGGTAATGATGAACACCACACAATATGTTAATATTCGATAGGCAAGTTCCTCTTTCAAATAAAAGTATATCTATATTTTTACGTATATATATATATATATATATATATATATATATATATAATTCCTATATTCCTAATGATTGTGAGTACCGTGCCGCACAAAACCGTAATTTAAAGGGTCACAGCTATATAAAATATTGTTCCGCGCACAACCGTAATTAACAGTGACCGCTATATAAAATAACTTCAACAATCAGCGTTAGATTCAATAAATATACAACTCAAGTACAGCGAATAACCAATTACCGTGATCGTCGTAAACGCAACAGCAAAAAAAAATAAAACAATACACCAGTTCAGGTGAACGTCGAAACGAAACAGAAAGCAATATCGGTAATCCATATTCGGCGGCGGCCTTATCTCAGTGTCAAGGGCGGGGTGACGACCGATGACAACCGATTGTCATATTAATAGCTGGACGGCTGATATCGAGAGAGACACGGGTGAGCGCCAGCCTAGAGCAAAAGGCGGTGCCGTGTCACTATGTAATATTTTGTTTTGTTTTGTAGTTGAATGTTTGCCTTGGAATGGTTTAGAATCATTTTTTATATTTAGTGGAATGAAAGGAAATAATATAATTGCAAAATGTGTTTTGTGTGGCTTATCAGGAAAAGAGATAAGTACTGCTAAAAATACACCATCTAATCTCAAACATCATATTTCGGTAAATAAGTGTTTACTACTCGCCTCATTTTATTTTATTTGAACTTGCTACTTTTGTATGAAAAGAAATGTATAATATTGACTTTAATTATTAAGCTTTAATATTTTATAATTTCTTTTGTTTCAATAATAAATTATATTATAATCTTATATTTAATTTTATATTAAAAATTGGAAAAATTATTAAAGAAAAACTTTTAAAATTTATTTTTTATTAAACTAAAAACAGATACATGTATACATGTTATTATTAGATATGAGAAACATTTTTATGTAGGTTTTGGAACTTTTCTTAAAATTTGATTTTTAATATTAAATACAAAAAGAGCTTTTCTGCATTTATATTCCTCTATATATTTAAATTTAAAAAATTCATAACAAAAACAGAAAACTTTATATTACTCAATGATTTTATATATATATATATATATATATATACATTTATACATATTATATATAATTTTTTTTTTTTTTTAATTGTATTTAATTATTTTTTGTTAATAATTTTTTAGAGAGTTCATCCATTTAAATTGGCTGCCTTTGATAATGCTATGAATGAAGGTAAAAAAAAATGCTTTTGTTCAACAGAAAAAAATGGAATATGGATTATCAGAAAATGTAAAAAAAGAATCAGTGCAATTCACACTTGATGACTATGGAAAAGATACAGGAAACGAACATTCTAAAGTAAATCAAAAAAGTTTAGATCAACTTGTGATAAATTTTGTTGTGAGTGAAATACAACCTTTAAGTATAGTCGATAAACCATCGTTTATGAGTTTGGTGAAACTAGGCCGCCTCCCTAAAGACCTTAAAGTTATGTGCAGAAAATCTTTAAAATCACGTATTAATAACCTTTATTTATCTATGATAGACAATATTACTTCAACACTTGGAAACGTTATGTATGTAGCAACCACAGCTGACTGTTGGACTAAAGGTAAAAGAGGTTATTTTGGAGTAACATGCCCCATTGGATAGACTCCAAGTCTCTCTTTAGCGTCATTCAGTATCATTGGGGCGTGTTGCCGTATAAAAGGAAGACATACATATGATGTTTTGGCTACTGCTTTACACAAGATTCATACAGTCTATAAAATACAGAACAAGATAGTTGCTGCAACTACAGAAAGTGGTTCAAATTTTGTGAAAGCGTTCAAATTGTATCCTATTTTAAGAAATTCAAACGAAGAGGAAGATAGTGATGACGATGAAGATGATGATAATGAAAATATTGAGAATATAAATTTTTTTGAAATTTTGGAGAACATTGTTCATGAACAAGAAGAAACTGACTCATTTATTCAGCTGCCTCCCCATTATAGATGTGCAAGTCATACACTAGACTTGATTACAAAAAATGATGTTGACAAAATGGTACAGAGTTTAGATAATACTTTTAAAAAATGTTATAGGAAAGCACTGGGTAAGTGTTCATCGTTATGGACAAAACAAAATATGTCCAATATAATTGCAGAAAAAATTCATGATACACTTGAAGTTTATCTAAAAACTCCAAACAACTAGATGGAATTGTATATATGATAGCCTTTTACAAATAAAAAATATTTTGGACATAATAAAATGAATAATATTATGGATTTTTGTGAAATTCCAAGATTTACAATCAATGAAATTCAATTATTACAAGAGTATTGTGAAGTCATGACTCCTCTTGTAGAATCACTTGACTTTTTGCAAGGAGAAGAAGGGATGTTCATGGGGTATTTATTACCTACACTCTATGCTTTAGATAAAAAATAAATTGTTTTACAACAAAAAATTCTGAACTTTTGTGGACCCCTAGTAAATAAAATGAGAACATCAATACAAACTCGATTTAATACTATATGGAAAAAAAAAGAACTAATATTGGCATCATGTTTATTACCACGTTTCAAATTATTATGGCTCGATGGCACCGAACGTTTCATGGCAGAAGCTTGGTTAAAATCTCTGTTTGAAAATGATGATACTTCTAGTTCGGAAGCAAGTGAAACTGAATCTTCACGTATAGCAAGTAAAGAAGACTTTTTCTGTTTACCAGTAGAGAAAAATACAACTTCAAGTTCTCGTATTGAAGAGTTAGAATTATTCTTAAAATGCCAGTCGAAAGACTTGACTGTGTTACTATTGTACCCTGCAATATTAAAAGTATTTTTAGAATTTAACACACCCCTTCCATCTAGTGCTCCTGTTGAGCGACTGTTTTTGACAGGTTCCAATGTGATGACACAAAAACGCCATAAATTGAGTGATTCACTTTTTGAAAAATTAGTTCTATTAAATGAAAATTTTGTTTTGTTTTAATAGGACTAATAATTCTCAAATTTGTAATTAATGTGTGTGTTAAATACTAAAAATACTTTTAATATAATACTATTAAATAGTAAAACTGTAAATAAATAGTTGTAAATAGTGTAAATAGTTGTTAACTGTACAAATTTTTTACAGTTAACAGCTATAAGTCTAATAATAAGAAATATGCATTATTACAATGTCTTAATATTTAAAACTACATCTGTAATGTGTAGCATTTTAATTATTATAGTAGTTATTTATATTCTGATTTAAAAGATCAGTAGTACAGTTATTTTTATTACAGAATGATGCCACATTGTTTTTGTGTAGTTACTAGTTATAAAACATTATTAAACATATTTATTTATGCCTTTTGATTTAAATATGCCATATAATCTAATAATTCATAATAATAATAAAAACAATTTTTTAAATAACTTGGTTACATAAAAGGAACGAGTTCTTATTTCGGAGGAACTGGATCTGGAACAAGTTCCTTCTTAATATAAAGAACTAGGATCTGGAACGAGTTCATATTTTAGAAAATGAACGGGGAAAGGAACGAGTTCCATTTAAAAAGGAACTTTCCCAACACTGTTTTAATGCATTATTAGCTACTACTGTACTTCTTCTAAAATGACTTACAATATGATTCAGCTATAACAGTATGATTAGAGCTGAATGGATGACAACCTAAGAGTACAGGCTTTAATTTAAACTCAGTGTCTATACAATGAACTGTAATAGTCAAAAACTTTCATAATTTCTAGATGTCTAACAATCAGTGGTTAAACAAGCACTTTCAATATCTGCCGTCAATACTTCCATTTCTCCTAAATACTTTTCATACATGGCCGGTATATGCTCTTTTGATATTGTGTCGATTTGGAAGTTCATAATGTGGATTTAGAGCCTTGACAAATTGTTTAAAACCGGAATCTTCTAATATTTTAAAAAGTTGAAAATAGTTCACAAACAGTTTTAAAAGTGTTTGATCCAATTTTTTTTTAGCATCTACTGTTAATTTTTTAGGTAAATAACCTGCAATAGAAGTTTGTCTACTTTCTCCGCTCGAAACTTTCATCACTGAAAAAGCATTTGATGAAGATGATTGGGTAGAAACAAGAGTTTTTGATAACATAGTGGATGTAGGGGAAGGTTTTAACTCCTCCTCAAATATTACTTAGAATATATATACCAATTACATATGAGATCATATGTTTGTCTTTTGGGTAAATACCTTGCGCTAGTAAAATTGCAATACGTTCCACCCTTTTTTTTGTAATATTAGGCAAATTCAAATAAGCTTGTTTACGCTGACCGTCGATCAAAATGTGATATTGAATTACCTTCTCCTTTTATCACTATCAGCAGAAGTTGATCTTGGTCGTCGTCTTTTAATAGGTAATAGTTCCATTAACCTTTGCAAATGTAAATCTTGTTGATCTTTGTTTTGAAATTCGTAAAACAGCTGTCTAGTTTTTGTAAGAACATTTTGATCAAATATTGCTAGACATCTACTCTCACAACTAAAAAAAAGACAAAAACGATCTTTAGAAAAATATTCTTAATAAAATTACATCAAGTGACAGAATAAAATGAATTCAAAGTGTAATTAATAAAACAAAACAAAAGTAGAAAATAAAAATAAAAAAAATATTTTTCGCAGCAATGGTATCGAACCCGATGATTACACAATAATATCGCAAGTTTAAATAACCATTAGACAACGATCATAAATGAATTTGAGCGATATAACAAATCTAATTAAGATAATAATGTAAAAATAAAAACCAAGTGGACACTTAACTACTTTATACTATAATCCAAAATTTATATTAGTTACTCACTATAATACATCAATAGTTTCTAATGGAGTATTTTTCGGTTCCACGTATTTTCCAGCCCAGTTCGTGTACGAAGTTCCTTCGACACGTGCTTGTTTAATTATGTTTCTTTGATAACTTTTAACATCCCGAATTCCCTTTTATTGTTTTCTAATGAGGACTTCTTCATTGTCACTTTCTGACATAGTTTTATAATGCTTACGCACTTTTAATTATATTAATTTGATATTTATTTACAGAAATATAGTGAAACAAACAAAATTATATTATAAGTAAACTATAAAAAGCAATAGAGTTGACTGATAATAATGACTACACAAAATACCGTGTTATCATAGTAATAAAATTAGATATTTAGTGCAAAACGGAGACATGTCCTGAACTTGTCCCCTTTCTTTACTAAACACCATCTTTCAAAGCTGATATTTCCATAACGTTTTATTGGACTATTCCCGTTTTCACACAAAATATGTATTTAAAGCAGATAAATACAAATTCGGTGATAACTAAATGTCGTCAAAAAGTGGACATGTCCCCTTTCTGCAATTAGTGATTCTATTAAATATTATGGTACGATGGTTGTAAAAAATATTTATGAGAGAACCGTAGACCCTTATTGTCCTGTTGTAAAGTACCCGACTTATACACCGTACAGAAAGAATGTGTCAATCAGATCATTTCAGAATCAAATATACACCATTAAGATTATGAAAATGACATTAAACCGTTTGGATGATAAGCAGTTTAATGAAAAAGACCGTATTACTACCTACGCTTACAGTTATTATAAACTAGAGTACGCATACCATAATTATGCTAATAATTATTAAATATATATCAAATAGTATTATTTTTTTAGTCATGAATACATCTCTGAAACTCAAGATATGTAGTTGCATCTTATAAACTAATGTAATAATAATAAACAGATTACAAAAATGTATTATTTATTAGTAAACAATATTATTATTATGTAAAAAAATTTATTGTTGAAATTATATTAAATAAAAAAAAAATTATCTATAAATATATTTATATTATTCATTTAACAAAAATAAATATTCAAACAACATTTTTACGTAATAATTATTATCGTTATTGTCGACAGGTCGGACAAAACGCCGTATTGTATTTTGTATATCATTAAAATTTAGTCAAATATGCAATCGTTTTAGACAGTATACACATCTTTTGAAGTCACATACTTCAAGCAGAGTGCTTTCATGACTAAATATTTCTTTATGTGTTGTAACCACTATCATTTCTGCATAATGACTAGTTAGTACTTGTGTTACACACAAATATGTGGCTTGACATTGCTTTTCCGTCCATTACTAGCCGGATATTAACCTTTTTGCAGTTGGCCCATACAAAATGTGTTCTCCGCTTACTCATTGTGAGTTTAATTTCCTCATAAATGTATTAGAAGAAATTTGCACGGATCAAGTGGCCCAGACGGTTCGGTTCTGTGACCAGACCCAACAAATTTGATAAAGGTCTAAACAAATGACGCGTCTATAATATAACGCAGGTGTGCTACACGCGAGTTCACGATCCAACGTTATATTATAGACGTCATTGTACAGCCGCCTAACAAATCTGGCAGAATCGTTGTTCTGATTTAACATATGCATTTCTATTACTTCCAACTGCCATGATTGCAGTAAAAATGAATCTATAAAAGGTATCATTGGCGAACAACTGCTTGGTAATAGTTCTAGATCATGATCAGAATAGGTTCGTTCATGATTTGATGATCATTTATCATCTAAAAATAAAAACATTGTTAAGAATGTTGCGGTTGGTATTTTACCGCACTCGGGTGGAGTTATAATACTAGGGAAAAAACACAACACTTTTTGGTTCAAAATAAACGTTGTATTATTTATTTGGTGTTTTGAACAAAACTTTATTATATTGCCCTAGGAGGCGTAATATCAGAAAGCAAAAACACAGTAAGTAATATTGACAGAAGATATATACATATATGTATGCGAAAGGCACAATGTCGTAACGGCAAGCGATACGATCAGAACGGTGTCACGGAGATGACTTAATGTATATTTGCGGTGGGTCGTAGATGGACGTGCAGCACTTGCTGGACTTTGACTACTGATAAAGGTGTTACGGGTCGCGGGGCTCCGTGTATAGAGAACGCCGCGGGACCGTGTCAAGAAGTTTGTTTATAAAGTTAAATGCTAACATAAATACCATCAGAATCCTCACTACTGTCTTCAATTTCTTCTTCCTCATATTCATCAACATCTTCTGCCTCCAAATAGTCTTCTTCCGATGGATTATAGTGAAACCCGTCTTCATGAACTCGTGGTTGTATCTCTCCGAATTGTTCAATAAACAACTTTCGTTCGTCTGCATGAACAAAATTTTCTGCTTCCGTGATAACACATTTACAGACAAAAATCGACTTGACTTGCATAATGTTTGAAGTGTTAGATGTATAGGCACGATTAATAGAATTGAAAATATTAAATTTTTAGAATAGAGTATAAGGTATTTATATGAAAAACTATAGTTAATGGCTTGTCATTACTATACCTGTGTATAGTTTATACCCATATACGCATAGTGGTACTAATGTCTTTACTCTATCCCTTTTTTTTCAGAACAATAACAATGCTCAAATTAATTATATATGAATTTTTAGGTAAATAAACAACAAACATGTTATATGTTACTTATAAGTTTTATTTTAAAAATATTATGCAATTTGATTACATTATTTAATTATAGTGTAATTTTACAATATTTTAAGTACTAAGAATTATTAATATACCAATTTCTTAACATAAACATTTTATAAAAACTTGTACAGTGTACTCAAACGTTTGTGTTTGCCAACTTTGTAAAACCGCGCCACGAGTCCATTTTTGCCGACCGGAGTCTACGCAGATGCTCATTTCTGAGCCTTCTGTACTCCTCCTTGTCATGATCTTTATAATCGCGATTCCTCCTAAAGTCATTTATTTTAGACTTGGACTCGTTAAGTACCCTATTCCACCATTCGAATTTTTCGACCTGCGAGACTGAGACGCCGTGGACTCCATCGCACGCACGAGTGCGTCTGTTAGTGCCCCCGCCGCCTCCTCAAGGTCGCCTTCCATAGTATCAGACACATCCGACACATGTTGGGACAGTGTCCATCTGAATTTATCCCAGTCAGTTTTCTTCAAATTAAACCTGGTGTTCGAATGACCCCCTAGCACAACGAACATCATATCTGATGGTCCTGTGGTCGCTGTCGGTAACGTCATCGACCACTTCCCATCCAGATACGGCATCGACCATGGCGCTGCCCCTTGTCAGAGTGATGTCCACGTTAGATGATCCCATGCCTGGCCTCTCGTACGTGTCGAGATGTCCGGGCCTG